CCATGTCACAGGGGGGAGAATATATTGAAAACTTGGGAAATTGTTCATAAAATTCACATACCCTTGAATTTCTCATTCAAATTTTGACAAATTTTATTCTGCTCAACAATAAATCTGTTTAGTTTCATTTACCTAGATTATATAGTTACTCAAATATTTACACCTCAAATGAGATCAAATTTTTTGAAACACCCTTTATAATAAAAATAAAATAGAAAAATTGATCCCCCCCACCAAGCATATAAACTAAAAACTGTAGCAGATTTGTATCACTAGTTGTTCACATAGAAGCTATAATATCCATTGAGTAACTATGAAAAATAAGAACTGAATAAAAAAAAGTGTCCTTAATTTAAAATTCATTCCTTCTAGATTATTTATTCTAATTAATCTACTTGGGTTGGTGACAATGCTGTTTATCTAGCACAAATTGTTTTCCCTGCTTAAAAAAAAAGCAAAAATGTCCACTCAAATGATTATTTATTGGAGGAAATGATCATTCCAAAAGACATTATATGTAAATTTATGAATTATATTGACATTTAAATAACACGGCCTGTGTAAACTACACAGATTTACTAATAAATAAGTAAATAATGTACTCTGTAATTTTTAACCAATGACCATTCCCAAATAGTCTCTCTTAGAAATACTGAAATGTCCTCAACAGAGAGTGAGGTCATGAAACATGATTTAACCTCTCACTGCAAACAACTGCATTTATCTAAGATGACTCTCCCTCCATTCCCTCTGTATCACACTCTTTTCTCTCTTTATGTCCCTCTCACTCTGATTTAGTCTTAATGTCTCTCTCTTTTTCTGTTTTCCTCTCAGTATTCATGATACCAAGTGTGGCACACACCATATATACAAACAAGCATAATAATACATAGGAAATATATATATATATATATATATATATATATATATATATATATATATATATATATATATACTTGTGCAAATTAATTGAAACAACCATTTTAGTTTCCTTTCTTTTACTATACTGTCAGTTTTAGACCCACTGGAGTGATAGGGTGTTATTGATTTCTATTTTTTTTCCTCAGATTAGGTCATTTGCAGTGGTATGCAGTAATATGAATCTATTTTCAGGATGTATGATTAAATTTGTTTGGCCTTGAAAAATATTGCATCATCCATGATTGCATCAGATTTTTATCACTCTGAGGAAGCGTACGAAAATTGTAATGCTGCACAAACACACTGGCAAGCCATACCAGTGAGCAAATCAAAGTACTATAGGTGGGCCCAGAAACTCTCCTGATTTAAATCCAATGGAAAATCAGTGGTCAATCTGCAAGGAACGACTTCATGGAATGGACATACAAAGTACTAACATGTACACTGGGCCATGTTTCATTAGAAAAATATGAAAAAAAGTAAATAATAATGGAATTATTCGTTTTGTTTCAATTAATTTGCACAAGGGTGTAAGTTAATAAGACAAAAAAGTTTTTTTTTTACTGTCAGTAGAATTTGCTAATTTTAACTACAAAATACTCCTCAAAATTTCTGTTAAGATGTCATACAAATTTGTGTAAGTTTTACATTCATCCTTTGAAGCAAGAAAAATGAAAGCCTTCAATCTAAAATAATATGCAAAGAGGTATAAGGGAAATAAATCAGTTGAGGTTACACTGAGTAGACAAAATGACATGAATGTCTTGAATTACTTTTAAGGCATTATCAAAGTGAATCAATTAATAACAATTGTTTCCTGCAAACTAAATCTGTGAATTTTCATCTCTACTGAATTCTGATTAGTTGAAAATGGTCAAGCTGCTAATAAAATTTATGTAGAAGAAAATTTAAAGATAGCCAAGTGGATTAAAGTATTGGTTTGTGAATTTGGTGACATAGTAATTGTGAGTTCAATCCCTGATCCAGGCAGTGTGTACTTGGACTCAGTGGAAAAAAGCAAGCAATAACTGAACAATACTAAAAATAAGAACTAGACACAATAACCTTAGACATAGGCAATGGAATGAGAACACTCTATTACTGTAGGTTAAATAAAGGGTTCAGTTCAGAATTCCCTTGCGGGTTGCCCAGATTGATATACATCTGATGAAGACTGGAGGGTACGATGACCGAAACGCTGTGACAACAAAAATGAGGATAATAGTCCGAATATAAATAGTGTAAATAATACATTAAACCATATCCTTTTGGTGTCAGTTTAAACTGACTGAATCCCCATTCCTCATATATTATGAGCATTTTGCTTAACCCTTTGGACCCTGTGTTCCTGAACAATTTTAACCATTCTGCCTGAGCTCCTGAGTCAAAATTCACAAATAATTGGTATGTAATGTTTCACGGTAGATATAAAAATACTTACAAGTGTTTAACCACCATTCAAATGGTGGCTGGGAACTGAGTCATTTTTCTCTACCACCGGTAAAGCGGTGGCTGGTCATTACGTCATTTTTCTCTACCACCGGTGGTAGAGAAAAATGACGTAATGACCGGTGGGAGTTTTGTTCAAAAAGTGATGGAAGCAAAGAGGATAGAAAACCATTCAATCCCTCAACACAAGGCCTTTTTTTTTTTTTAACCAAGTGTAGAATATTTACACTGCTGACTTTAGTCAAGGAGAAAGCTGAAGCACTTAGTAAGGACTGAACCAAGTAATTTGTGAGATAACCCAACTGAACAAACTCTTTGGCCAAAACCATTTTTTGTTTTACCAAAGTAGTTATTTTATATGCCTGGCTCAGTTTGGGCATAAGGCTTTAAGAATGGAGCATCCAATAAGGATTGTCAGCTTATAATCATATCTTAGTTGAGATACCAAAAAACAGTTTATGTACTATATTTTCTACTTTTTTATTAATTCATAAATTAGTCAATGTGTGTAGTAACTTAACATAAACACAGATACTCAGACATTAGTCAAAACACACACATAGCAGCAGTAGGGTTTAAGATTCTGCTAAACCCTACATGTATGGGAGTTCCAGATTAGTTGCAAAACCTTCTAATCATGGCACATCTTCCTGCTACATCAGCAGGAGATATGAAGCTGTTGGTCTCTTTTCATCTCCAGGATGTGAACAGGCAACAAGGACTCGACTGTCCCATTTCTGACACCACATGCCATACCTTTTTGAAAGCAAAACTTTCATCATTCTATAACAAAAACATTCACAAAAGATAAATATTTTGTACATTGTTTCTCAATAGAATTAATGTTTAGACAATTCATATTCTTTTCTCAGACTTATCCATAATATCCACTAGTATAAATTATTATATTTGGTTTTTACTTAGTGATCTATTTTGATAGATGACACTAAAATTCAAATTTAACCATCAACCAATCTGCATAACATATATACACACATATATAGTGATGTCAAAGATGGTATGAAGCCAAAAATGCTGACTGTCAATGGAATATTCAGGGAAAAGACATTTAAGGCAAGCAGTCTTTGAAATAAAGTGCTCGATATTAAAGATAGAGCATTAATAGGATTAATGGGAGTAAAAGTTTGTCACTTAGCTGATTGATGTTACCTACAGCATCCCAACTCTGGAGTTTCATAGGTTGGCCTGTCCATCTACTCTTCAGGGGTATCATATAAAAATATAAGCAGTAAATTGCTGATATCCCCTGAAGAGTGGATGGACAGGTCTGCCTACAAAGCTCTGGAGTCAAGATGCTGAAGGTAATATCAATCAGCTAAGTGACAAACTTTTACTCACATTAATCATATATATATGTATGTATGTATGTATGTATGTATGTGTGTGTGTGTTCTACTGCTTTTAGACTACAAATTTCCCATGATTTCTCTTGAATGCCCATATCTGCTCAAAGCAAATCTTAATGTAAACAAATGACAACATATATTATGAAATGGACTAAATCCAACAACTATTTTAATATATTTATTGTTTATGTGCTATTTTTATAGATACAAATATTTAAGTAAATGCTCTGTTTATAATAACAACATTTACCAGCCTGAATGTCCAAGAAATTTCATAGAAAATATGTGTCCTCCAACAGGAATCGAACATGTATCCTAAATGGAACCATCACAAGCCTGACATGCTATACCATTCAGCTACAGAAGAAGCATCTGGTTAGTAAGGTCAAATTATAAGTTTTATAATTATAAGTTTTCTTTTTGCTATTTCTCCCACACCCTGTTCTACCATCCATTTGCTCAAGCTCATTAAGAATGTTTTGTGCTGCTTTCCTTTATCCCTTTTGCCATCAATCTGTCCTGTGGGTATCAGATTTTCCAAGCTTTCCTTCCTCATTATGTGCTCTAGAAATTTCAACTGCCTCTTCTTGAGGTTAAATGTAAGTTTCCTCTCACATAAGAGAGTGCTGAAAAGTTCTCACCTGTTACTCAAAATAAATTTTTTAAGGTCTTTTTAGTTATGTTGAGAACTTTCTAGTGCACACACACACAACAATGCTGAAAGTTTCTCAACCCAGACCATTACCTAGAAATAAATTTTTGTTTATTTTTAAAGGCTTCTTAGATATGTTTGGAATTTTCTAGCACCTATATATATATATGTTTATTTTTAATTTATTTTGTTTAAACATTATTTTTGATATTCGAGCAGAAACTGTTTTTTAATTCAACGTATTTTTCTGACAAGATTTCTTGAATATTCAGGCCAGTAGATGTAGTTGTATAAAAAATATTGTTAATTGAAAAAATAATATTTAAACAAAATAAATTAGAAATAAAAATATGTTGGATTTAATCATTTCCTAAAAATAAATAAATAAATATATATATATATATATATATACACACACACACACACATATATATATATATATATATATATATATATATATATATATAAAATGAGATAGCATTTATTTATGATCAACAGTCAAATGAAAACAGTTCCAATTGTTAGTTAGAAACAAAAAGAGGCACACCTGTTTTGGACCACAGCAGGGAATAACAAGTTCCAAGTAAAGAGAGAAATATTTTATGGAAGCCATGATGACTGATAAAGAAGAAACAATAACTCCATCAGATTCTTTTACTGATTTGGATATTACCAAAAAGAATTATGGTTTGTAGATTTAAATTATTACCAATTTATTCTATTTTTCTTAGAATTTTCTATCAGTTTTGTGAATGATGTTTGACTTTCTCAGTTTTCCCTTTCATGTTGTAACTGGCTTAAATTAATGTTATCAATTGTGTTTTTCTTGTTATATTGTTTATATCCCTTTATTTTTATTTAAACAACTTCATTGAAAAGTAAATCAGGTACTTTTTTTTTTATTTTCTTTCTTTTCAAAATGAAGTGAATATTTTCTTAAGATTAGCTAAGTCTGGTTCAAGGACAAATAAAGGTAAATAAGATTGTGTAGCTTCAATCTTTTAACAGGGATGACCTGCCCACCTGCTTTGAAAATGAGTGCTTAAAAATTTACTGACACACGTACAAATATTTAACTGGTTTCAAAGTCAATTTGATAAAATCTTAAGCTTAATTTTGTCTGGCACAATGTAAAATGAAGTAAGAAGGGAATTAAGAAAATTATGTCATGCGTATCTTTCAAATAGAGAGGGTCTATCTCCTTTGAATATCAGCAAATAAAATCCCAATTCTGGGGCTCAATGGGAAATATATAACTATGTCTGTTACGATAGTCTTATGTAGTAGTTTTCAACCATTTTAATTAACCTACCATCCTATTATTATAGATACATAATAGCCTAATTGAAAATGAATTGTATGTTTAGTTGATATTAGAAAACAGATGCTACACTTCAATCCTAAACAAATTTGATGAATAGAACCACAAACTCGAATAATGCCTTCAAAGTCAAAAATATTTTTATTTTGCCAAAATATATAATCCTTTTCTACGTGTCCCTACACGTTTTATGACATTTAATGATATTCTAAGAATGTATTAAACATGAAAATGTCTTAAAATAATTGTCAGATTTTGTCCATTTCATAATGTGTGACGTCATTTGTTTACATTTGGATACGCTTTGAGCAGATGTAAATGTACATGAGATTCATGGAAGATTGAAGTTTAAAAACGGTAAAATCGACTTTGCCAATTGAACGATTCTCTGTGGTTCGATCGGTTAAGGCACGTCAGGCTAAATGACGGTTCCATATAGGATACAGGTTCAATTCCTGTCGGAGAACGAATATTTACTATGAAAATTTCTCGGACATTCAGGCCGGTAAATGTTATTAATATTGTTTATTATAAAACAGAGCATTTACTTAAATATTTGTATGTATAAAAAGAATGTATAAACATAAAAATGTCTTTATATATAATGATAAAATACCTCTGACAGCTCTTCCCTATTGGCATTAACCAGTTCTATAATTCTCCCAGGTCCTCTTTATACACTAGTACCCTGGGTCCTTCCAACAGGTTTTTAAATTTATCTGATATCTGAAGCTTGTTTGCCTCATTTCTATCTGTAAAGTGATCTTCCCCATCATCCGATCCATATTTGCTCATTTTCTCGAGTGAACCATCACATGGAAAAAGGGAAACAATCTGGAAAAAATCCAGTTACAAAAAAAAAAATTTTCTATTGGTGAGGTGCAAGAATTATCACAAGAGAAACACGGAAACCAAAAAGTGTCTTACCTGTCACTTGATTGTCCTGTCATCATTCCAACTTTCCAAAAAGTTTCGGGGAGTTTTAGAACCTTTTAGTCAAAATGATTAAAGTTCATTGGTTCTACTCCTTTAATGAAATGATCTTCTTCTTCCCTTTTTTGGTTTGATCACGCTGTTCTTTGTCTTTAGGTTGATGTTCTAAGTTTCTGTTGGCTTCTCTTAGGTCGCACCCTGAGCCACAGCATTAATTATAACACACATGCTTTTATCCTGATCACCAATTATAACACCACCAACTTTGCTCGGTTCTGGGTTGTTCCCACACTGGTCAGGACTGCTGCCAGTCAACTGATAGTTATTTGCTTTCCACTGTGTTCCTTCGTCTGCTTCTTGTGTTCCTTGATCATACAGCAGTGAATATTGAATTTCATCCATCTTTTAGCACTGGATCACACCATAGTGTAACCATGCTACAAAAGGATAAAGAATGTCTCCGCTGGCAAAAATAACAAAATAAAGAAGGTTGCCGGAATAATTTTCAGTTGGTTTATATAGATTTTGATACAACAAAATTAACCCTTCCCATTAAACTTACTATGATGACACTTTGTCTTTTTCTTCTAAAACTTGGAGCAGGTTCAATCAACAAAGAAAGAGGTCAGTCGGGAATTCTCTTGGCAGCAGGTCACATGAAGTTCAGGAGCTCCTTCATCCATTGCTGTCTTGTCTCGTCAATCAGTTCAAAACAATAATTTTTCCAATAACAAACTTTCTGTTTATCAATTTTATTATTGATTAAACATATTTTAATTTGTATTTAAAGATGGTAAAAGAAGGTTTATTGTTCCACTGGCCTTCATAGTTGACACCTTGCATTAATATTTGGTGTAATAATATTTTTTTTCCAAAATAATAAGTATATTTTTTATTAATTATTAGTTAATAATAAGTAAGTTTTTCCCTGGTTCGAAAATGAATAAAAAGCACCCAAAATGTTTTAATGCAAATATATCCTGACTTAAATTATGAAAATAAATTATTTTATGATATCAATAGATATGTTTTACTTCTTTACATTAAAATATTTTCTTCAATAAAATGTATTTTGAATACAAAATTAATAATTAATACTGAAGACAATTAAAATAAGGCTTGTTGTTCTGCTTGGCTTAATAGTTAACATATTGCGTCAAAATAATGAAGTAATAGCTTAAAACAGGTGTAGTCTTTTTCAAAATCATCAATACATTTTTTATTATACATATTTATTGCTTTCTCACATTTATTTCATGATACATAATGGCAGCAAATAAGCCTGCATCTATTTATATATTTAATATCAAATCATGTGATAGCCTCTTCACCTTTCAAGTAGTTGTTTATAAAAAAAGTTCTAGTGTAGTGAATTGTATAAATATGTTTCATTATGTATATTCATATTTATTTAATAATGTTATTATAATGCATTATGAATGTATATTTCACACACATAATAGTTGGAATATAAGATGCAAATGTTTGTTCATATACACGGATTGATATAAGAATGTGTATCGAAAACAAATACTGAATTTCTTATTAAAAATACCGTAAAAACAGAAAAACTACCATAGCTTAAGAACCCTTTGTATAACTTTAATGAAATTTTACACTCGGCAGAGGTTCAAAGTACAATATGCTCACAGATTGGTTGGAGTATTATGTTTTGTTTAAGCTCTATCACTGTAACACACGTACATACATACAAGATTTGGGTTTTAGTATTATATAGATTTGTAATAGTTCAGCTAGAAATCTGTTCATTTGAGTCAAGTTGTAAGAAATATTTCCTTTTGGCTCTTATCAGGCTGGAAATTTTGAGCCCTGAAGTCACTTTCCTTAATTACTATGTTCATTGTTTTTCTTCTTGTTACATTCTCATGAACACTTTCAGCAAAATTTATTTAAGTCAGCATTTTAGAGTAAGTTAAAACAAAGCTCTAAGAATTATTCTTGATGGTTTATTTCCTGACTTTGGGGACCAACTGATGTCAACAAAAAATGACATGTTCAGAGAAATTTTTTTTTTCTTAACTTGAAACAGATGCGATTTGACTGTTAGACTACTAGTGCTCAGCTCAACCCCACAAAGTCACTATATATATATATATATATATATATATATATATATGTATATATATGTATAAAAAAAAGAACAGTAATATATATAATCTGGTGTTCTTATTGATATTTCTTATTTTATTTTTTAGCTTCAGTTTTTAAAAACATGGTTATTACTGTGCAGTGAAAAAAAACATATTTTAAATCAGTTAATTTAAAAGTTTAAAAATCATAATATACATATACTTTGATATGAAAAAATAATTTTACTTACTATAAGTAATTTCAAATACATTTCCTTCTGTTATAAAGTAATATAGTCTATTAAAACTAACAATGAAAATATTTTAAAGTTGTAATTAAAATTGTAGTTAAATAAAATGATTTCTAACCTAAACTTCTTTTACTTAGTACTACACGCACTTAAAAGAATCCAATAAAACACCTATAGTAAAATAAAATTAATATGAAATGCCAGAAGATGTAAGCTTTTGAATGACCCATGTCCTTTGTACTTACAAGAGAAACAATATATTACTAGGTTTATATATATAAAAAAATAAAAGTTTACTAAATCAGTGAAATTAAGTAACTATTTTTGACGTCATTGTCATAAATTTTACTTAAATAATATAAAAAAAAACAAAATAAAATAAAAAATGTAACTTAATATACTTGATGCAAAAATAATCCTACATACTATAAGGGATTCTAATACATTTAACTGTTCTTAAAAAAAATATAGTATAATAAAAATTAAAAATGAGAATATTTCAAATCGTAGTTAAATAAAAAGTATTCTAATCTGAACACCTGCGAAAATCTTTAAATTTACAAATAGAAAAAAATGCCGTAAGAATTTTTTTGCCGTTAACAATAAATTTTTTAAAAATCCAGACGACATGCATTCAACGGATGTCAGTTTTCATTGAAAAATACATCCCTACCCCTTACCAAAATGTAGCTAATAACCAATACAATGATGCAGACATGAGGAAAACCCAGACATCCCTTGTCCAGTTGAAGTAGATTTATCTGTAACCATGGAAACGTGATTTTAGCTGTGTCTTTAAAACCCAGTAATTTTAAAAGTTACTCCAAAATTCACTTGAGGATGAAATAGGACTAATGTCTTTAATTTAATTGCAAAATTAAATTTGTGGCTTTTAGCTTCCATTTTTGAAACATGGTTAGAACTGTGTAGCGGAAAAAAACATTTTAAATCAATTAATTTATAATATTAATGCTCTGTAAATTTACATCGAGCACTATTTTGTAAAAATAAAAATACCTATAAGAACACCGGATTATATATCTTACTGTTCTTTCTTTTTATTTATATACATAATATATATATATATATATA